AGAGAGAGAGAGAGAGAGAGAGAGAGAGAGAGAGAGAGAGATGCATACAGCCTGCAAAAATAATATAATACTGAAAGAAATTAAATTATAAGCCTGACAGAATTGTATCAATTATTTACAAAAATTTGATATTCGATAAGTTATATTGAATACTAAAAACACTGATTTAATGCTAAAGAATTATTGTTCAATACTTTTAATTTTCAAAATAAGTAATTTCTCAGTGTTACCTTTCCAGCACCACTTTGTGCTTTTTAAAGCACAGTCGATAGTTTTCTAAAAATTTGTATTCAGATTTCAATATGTAAAAAATAAATAAAATACAGTCTAATTTTTATCATCAGTAAAAACTTATTTTTAATCTATTATAATACCTTTAACAATAATAAAAACTAGACAGTATTTTGTTCACTTTTTATAAGTGTACAAGAATTTTTTCAGATTCTTACGTAGTCCGGGGCCATAAAAAATGTATGCTGTTTCCCTCAACTGCCCAGAGTGTAAACTATGATCGAAAATTTCAGAGTGGTGCTGGAAAGTTAAATTGAAATTCTGTAAGGGCGGTTTATTTACCATCGCGTCGCGTCCGACTTCGAGAAAAGGATGAAACGTTTAAATAGGCGAAATATCGGCAATAGGGGACAAAGTCAGCGATTGAGTTCAAGTTCTCCTATCGGTCTTGGCCGCTTTGACCTAGATGACTGTAGACAATTCGATAGAGTGGGACAACTCTCGCACACGCGCACGGGGTGGAGTCCCTTCTGCCAATTTAGTTGTTGGAAAGCTTGACTTTTAAAACTAGAACGTATACTTGTTCTTCTAGCCTAAATCGAGCAAGTTCAAATTGCCGCAAGGAATGAATTCTGCTGGCTGCATCCTCGACATTTCTGTCTAGGTGGTTAAAAGCTTGTTCAAGTTTCCGTCCTCGATTTCCTGTGCATCCATCCGCATTGCCTCATTCGCTCGCATGGAACGTACAATTGATTGTTCGTAATAACTTGTTCGTGACATCAAAGACATTTGACTGTCCGAAAATTCCGATTCTCTGAGATCCATGATTAATTCATTTTGCGGATAATAAACATGGGTTTATATAGAAATGCCAGCACGGTGTAGAATGCCAGAAAGCATAGATTTATTAGGTCATTCCCTTTTTGTGGGATTACAGTTTGTAAATAAATGCAGCGTGCCAATACGCTTTGTATTTCGACCTAGTTCACTATAGCTTTGGAGCTAAAAAATGCGAGACAAGTGCAGAATTTGGCGTATTTTTCTCAAATTGCAAGAACAACGTTGTTTTTGTTTTTTGTGCTTTTAGTTTTGCGTAACGATATTTTTTTATGTATATATTATATTATCTTACAAAGTTGCGTATATTGTAGTATATATATGTATACATA